ATTCTGGGAGTTGACATCCACCCATCTGAAAGCCGCCAAGGTTGAGAAACACTGTATTAAGGTGAGTCTGGATGGCCATCTCGCAGGGATGTTGTAGGGGTGGATTCTGTACTGGGCAAAGAGTTGGACTAGGGGAATCTCCAAGGTTGCTTCTACGTTTTTACACTAGATTCAATGATGAGGCTGCCTCAGGAGGTATTGGACTCCCCTTCGTTGTTTAAATAAGTCTGGGGTGAAGGCCCCAGGCTAGAAAGCAGGAGATGGTGAGTTCTAGTCCCATCTTAGGCATGAAAGCCGGCTGGGTGACTTTGGGCCAGTCCCTCTCTCTCAGCCGAAACCCACTTCACAGGGTTGTTGTTGTGGGGAAAAAAGGAGGAGGAAGGAATATTAAGTATATTCACTGCCTGGAGTTATTTATAAAAATAATAAAGGCGGGGTAAAAAAAAAAAAACTAACATCCAAATCTAGATGGTCATCTCCTGGAGATGCTGTAGTGATGCATTCTTGCACTGGGAGGGGTTGGAGTACATGATCTCTAAGGTTCCCTTCCAACCTTTCCATCGTATGATTCCACGCAAAATGGGGAGAGAAAATCCTGCGGTTTGGGCCATCTCTGGCTATGGGTCTTGAGGGTTCTTCCCTGCCTCCCGATCCCCAGACAACAGCCTTGGAAGACCTGCGGATGGTGGATGGACCTCCTGGCTGTGCTTGAGGCTGACCCACCTGTTCTGTTTGGAAGCATCCTGGGGGCTCGGGGCAGGGGTTGGGTGGAGAGAAATCTCACCTGCTTGCTTTCAGGTAAATGGCTATTTTAGACCTCAGCACTCCTTTGCTGTTAAGACAAGACCCTCCTCCTGCGGAGCCATTTTGTGAGCACGCCCGAGAGTGAGTACCCCCCTCTATAGTCTACTCATGGGGGGGAAGCATCTGACTCACGGCAAAATCAACAGGTTCCCCATCTCATTTCCCCAATACTGGAGGGAGCGGGCGAGATTTACACATGGCAGCAACTTCACGAATCTCTCGAGGACACGTTACAAAAGGGAAGTTGCCCCCTTCCTTCCTCGTGGGCTCACACGGCACCTGATGCCAGAGGAAAAATTTTCACCCGCTTTCTCTCTCTTCAAACACACCGTGGCAAGACGAGACAAGTTGGGGTGCCTCCTTTCATCGCTAAACTTGAAGATTCCCAACCTGGGTTGCCGTGTTTTTAGTGGTTCTGTAAGAACGTGTTTAATGCATCATAGATACTCCAGGACCCTCTGCACATCTTGGGTGTGGTCCTCAGCCACCCCCAAAAGTTGTAACCAAATGATAGATTGCAATGCAACGGAAGAGGAAAATTATTAATGCACGGCTGGATAGAAATCGTAGATGTCAGCATGTTGAACTCAGGCTGGTTTCCTGGGCAGCAGGATAGAAGGGGAACACTTTTCCTCTTTCCTGTCTAGTTTAGACACTTCCAGGTGGTCTCCCATCCCCATTCTACTGAGACCTGGCTTTGCTTATCTTCTGAGATGAGCCCAGGTGCTATACTGAATATTAAACAAACGCAAATCTAGTCACGTGTGATTTTCACCCTGGCTTCACTTATGGAAAGGAGCCCCTCAACATGATACTCAACAGCAAACTGGGGCCAATGGTGGAGAAAAAGGTACAAACTCCCACCCTACTTAACTAAAATAGAAGTAAAGTCTCGTTCAAGGCCAGCTGGACCCTGGCGATCACGGGGGCACACCCATGGCATTTTCCTGACAACACCAGGCAAATGTTTTGCCCTTGCCTTCTTCCATCCTGTTCTTGGGAGTGGGAGTTCCTGGTGGTCTCCCATCCAAGTACTAATAGCAGGGTCCTTGCTTCCCTTCCAGGCCTAACCCACAGTCAGGTGCCGCCCCAAATACTAGCAGTGAACGCAACCTTTGGATCCTTACAGAAACAAAAAAACTAGCATTCCACGTATCAAAAAAATGTCTTCAACAGGATCTCAAACAATGGCTTCTTCATCCCCCACAACACGAATTCTTTCTCAACCCCCCCCACCACCACTAAAGTCGGCTTTTCCCAATTCTGATTTCGTAATTTCCCCCTCGGTTTAGCCCGTTTTGGCCCACCTCCCTTGGAAAGAGTCACGGAAACCCCAACATCTGAAACTTTAAGCAAAGATTCCACACACCCCCCCCCCAAAGATTCCAAAACTTTCCGCAAAGCTTGCTAACTTCCTCGGCCTTTGGAGGCAAGGGTTGGGGTTCCCGGTTTTGAGCTGCTGCTTAACTTCTCGGGTAGGGGAAAAACTTTTCCTTGGACAGCCGGCGTGGCGGGGAGAGGAGAATCGGGTTAGTCCAGGACACCCCAAAATCAGGCGCGTGGAAGAGCCCTTTCCCCGCTCGCCGATTTTATTCAAAAGCCGAAGCTTGGCCGCGCGGCGGCGACCTTCGTCGGACGCCCGGAGCGGCTCGGCTAAGCGAGGATTTGAGTGGGATTTAAATAAAAGCCGCTCGCGCGCTCCGGCCTCGGCCGCGCACGAGAGCATCTGCCTCGGAAGGAGATCGA